GCGGGTGGCGGGGGGGGGGGGGGGAGGAAAAGAAAAAAGAAAGAAGAGAACATAAATATTAATTTGAATATGTTAGAAACCTTCAAAGAAGCAAGTTCTCGTAACCCTTTCTCAACTGAGAGCATGCTCTCTATGTTTCCTTCTCCAGTAATGTCACTCAAATCACGATTAAGTTTATTTCTTTTCTCGAGGTCCCCATCATCTGTTTGACATTAAAATTTTAAGAAAAACAGAAGTAAGCACATGTGGATCTTGGAATCAACAATGGTAACCATAACAGTAATGCCTTTGCCTTTGTTCCAAGATTCCTCCTTAGCCTTTTGTCCTGCAGAAATGACAAGTTCAAGAGGAAGAGGAGCTAACGATGACCAATGCTCGTGCTTTGACACAGCAATGTCTGGATAAACACCTGCAATAATTTTTTTAGTAGAAAAAGCATCAGGGAACTTGAATATCAGTAGTACATTGAAAACATAAAAATAGAAATTATTTGAAAAGAAAAGTAACAATGCTATCTTAAAATATGAATAAATTTGATTCAAAGATGTATCTCATATATTTCAAGTAAACTATTAGCTACTTAAAATAACAATCCTAATCATGCCATTTTGACCACCGGACCTGGCGAAATATCAATGGAATGCACAAGCATCCACTTCTCAAATTGAAAAATTTTTCCCCTCAAATACTCATCACACAAATGAAAAAGAACTAGGGTAACATCAACCATGATATTAAACTTAACTTCCCTGAAGGCCCTAGACAATGAAAGTTTAGTTTCTTCTTCATTATCAAAACCATGGTTTTAAGAGGCAGTGAAGTCAATATATGAACAATACCCCACCCACTTGAGAGAATTGATGATAAAGGCATGCAATCTAGAACTTTTGACGAGACATAAATCATGTAAATTAAAATTATAATTATAGAGTGATAACAATTGCAATATCTGTAATCACAACAGTGTCACTTTATTTTTATCTCGACTTTAAGCACAGAAACATATTGCATCCTACAGGTATAGTCACAACAGGTACAAATTGGTATCTTTTATGATACCCATAAAAACATAAATACTATTATCTATTTGTATACTATGGCACCAGACACCGGTCTAATGGTGCAATGAAGGTTGTAAATTTCATCACATAATAAAGAAAAAATCTGTGTCAATATTGCCACAGGTATGATCTTCAAAAGACTTCTCAACCAAGTTCCGCATCAATATAATGCGGTTGTAACCTGCCAGCCTAGGAGTATCAGTCATTTCCCCCCCTCTCTTTTCTTCACCAATGCAACATAACTATAATAAGATGAACTGAAGCTGTCCATAGAAAACAAGCATTATCTCCACTAATTTGGTTGATACACCATAACATAGACATATTTCACAGTATTTCATTTCGGGCACTGTATCTGCTTAATGGTTCTTCGGGTTAGATTTTCATACATACATGTTTCAGGCTTTCAGCATATGTTATGGACTATACATTCACAGCCCTTTTTGAAAAGGAAATGAAAAGGAAAAATCCATGCAGCTAATAGGAAGAGATTCTATCAGAACATCCTCATAGAATGTGATGATTTATATACCATTCACGAATGGTTATTGGGTTATGTTGGGAATTTTAGGTATTTTGCTTATGGCGCAAATCACCCGCACTCCTATAGGGATGGTTGTGATAGGATTTTTCATATTCCAAATTAGGAATATATGCCACAAAGAATACAATATACCCACCTCTAATTTCTAGTATATTCATGAAAATCAACAAGTGCATTTGATCAAGACATGCCAATGTTCATAAAATAATAGAAATCAGAAAATATTCTGCTTCTTTTTCCTCTATTTTTTCAGAACTGTTTTACTCAACAAAAATCCCCCTTCTACATGTGCATTTTTGTAAAAAGTCTCGAAAATCACCACTAGAGCTGAAAACAACCAGTGGCCTCTTCGCTTCAAAAAGCTGCAGTGAACAGCCTCTGAACCCGAAATCTTATTTTGGTCTGATGACCTGTTTAGGGTGCTAAAGTGGGATTGAAGGTTCAGGTTGGTTCTTCATGAACTTATTTTGTTGAATTCAACTTGATCAAAACCAGCTTTGGTTTCATAAAGGTGTATCGTCGAATTTAGTAGCTCCTTATGGTCTCAGCATAACTGGTCTCAGCATAACCGATAAGTTGCAACAACAAAATCTTCTACAACTTTTCAAAAGGTATTTTTAAATTATTTAACAATTTTACTGTGAAATTTGTCCCATCATTTTACCAAAATTTTAAAAAATCTTTATACAATGTCCTTTACTTTTCAAAAGGTATTTTTAAACCAGCTTTGATTCTTCTGCTGATATTCATTGTTATTGACACTCCTTACTATTGTAAATGACTTATTCTTTCTTTTGTAAGAGACTCGGATGAATTTATTGTATTAACTAATATCATTCATTCCAAAAAAAAATGTTTAACATTTTACTTTCCCTTTTCAACAACCTTCATCATTTTTTATGCTTTTATGCTTCTTTTCTTTTGTAGTCATACACTAACATTTAACATATAACATACTTTACCATTTCCATGTATCTTTTTTATCCTTATAATGGCCATTTCTAATTCTTGTATAGTTTGAAAATTAGTGCACTGAATAACTAAAATTCCAGAATATATGTTTTGTTATTACTTTCTAGAACTGTATTTTTAGAAATTGATGAGATGTTATTATATTTGTTTTAAATATGCTTCAAATTTGTTGTTTATCGTTGCTTATAAATTTGAACCATTAAAAGCTCTCTGTGTCTGATGACTCAGATTTTTCTCAGTAGTGTCTATTTTCTTAGTTTTATCAGTTTATTTATTTTATTTATTTACGAATGTGCTGGGTGTTCTTTATTGTTAGCCTCTAAAAGCTAAGCCATACCTAGTTGTTTCACTTCTCTTTACTAAATGCTGTATGTACAAAACTCTATATGGGATCTTCATGTGCACCTCAACACAAGCATTCACTACTAACCTTATTTCAATTAATCTCATAGCATAAGAAGTGATAAGTTTAGCGTAAACTTGGATAAGTAAACACACATCATGATGAGATCTATTACCGTAACGAACGGCTAAGCCCCAGTAACGAGCAAGATAACATCTTTTGAGAACAACCTCCTCCTGCAATTTAACGAAAGTTCGAGATAAGATTTAAATGTGGAATAAGCATTGTCAAATCTTTGAACAGGTAGATAATGCTCAAATTGCAGACCATCTCTTCTTGTGTTAAGATCATTCTCTGTGTCATAGAACGAAGTGCTTTCGCTTCTGACTCAGCTTCTCTGAGTTGATCTACTGCACTTGCAACCTCTTCTTTTGCAGACTGTTTCACGATTAAAAATGAGACAATAACTAAAAAGAATAGCAGAAAACTGTAAATGATCCTATTAACTTAGGAGAAAACAAGTAAAGGAAAGCAAACAAAGGCAAAGAAAGGCAGGGTACCTCCACTTGTTGTCGAAGAGCCATTACTTCTTCATCTCTCCCCTCCTTTGTTTGTGATGCAGCCTTAAGAGCAGCCTATAGTAATACAGTAACACATGCATTAATATGATATTTAATTAAGTATCAATAGTCTGCATGAATGTGAAAAATCTTTTCCCTGGATAAAAAATTTAAAATAAAAAAAACCCCACAGTGGAAGTTCTCGATAAAAAAATCCCATAATCGGAGAGCCTCTTTTTATAAATGAAGAATGCTTTTGAGAAAACCAATACTTGCAGATCTCATTAACACCAGAAATCTCTCTTTTATTAACTCTTTTTCTTTTTCTTTTTCTTTTTTCCCCTTTGAAGTGATTTATCTCACTCCACTATTTCCTTCTGTTCCAGAACGAAGGTTTTAGATTCATCAAGTTAACAATATACAGCGGAACAAGATGTTTAAAGATTCTTTCCGTTTTTTTTTTCTTTTTGTGGAATTTATTACTTATTAGTAAAGTTAGAAAAGAGATTTTTATTTTCACATCCTATTCCATAAATTACTAGATACCTTAGGCTCAAAAGAAAATAGTTACATGTGTAACTATTTGGCATTTGTGAATCACGAAAAAGCAAATCGTACACAACATGCAACAAGGCAATGCCTTTCTTATCTCCTCTAAACAACGTCTAAGTGAATACTTAATCTGGTGTGTTAAATTTAATAGCAGGCAATGAACTACGCTTGATGTCTACAGGTCCTTACTGAATGATTACCTCTCTTTGACGCAGTGCTGCCTCCTTCCTGAAAGCAAAGCACATTAAATGTCATAATCTGACTTGACATCAAGATTTACGTGCATAGGATAACCCCATAGTTTACCTGCTAAGTAGCCGGGCTTCCAAAGATACACCTTCTCCAAGAGCAGCAACCTGTGATATAACATATTTAAGGCACATTTTCAAAGTTGAGGGTTATCTACAACATCCCCAAAAAGGCGGATTGTGATATAACAATTTTGTTTTCTTTTGTTTTCTTCTGTTTTTTTTTTGTGTGTGGGGGTGGGGGGGAACCTTAATTAATAGTGAGATAGGAGCTTAGAATGGTATATTCAAAAGGTAATTTGAAGAAAAACAGTTGATCACTATATTCTGTAAAAATTAGCTGTTTGCTTCGATTAACAATGCACGCATTTGACTATATTGCACTACATTGGAAAGTTGCATAGATTAAACGAAAGGGGAATTCCAGGAAAGAGCTATAAAATAAAACTACAATGCTTTATGGATGAAAATATTACTCAATTACCAAAACATGCACAAAAATGAGTGTAGCACAACTGAGAACATTATGATGGACGTTTGAATATACACTATGAGATAGCCTATGAAATGACATAGGAAGAGGTTACCTTAATGAGGGGTAAATGAGAGAATTTATGGACATGGTTTGTCCATGTGCAACAAAGACCACTAAGTGCACCAGTTAAAAGAAGAAACAAGGTTAGTTCATGGAACAAGGAGGACGAGATATGGGCCTAAGAGAATTGGTTGGAAACTAAAAAAAGAAAGGATATGATAACGATTAACTTGACTGAGGAAATGGCCTTTTATTCATGTAGCTGACCAAAAAACTTGGGATAAAGTCTCTGTTGTTGCTGTTTAACTGTAGCTCCATAGTCTAAAACCCAAAGTGATAAAAAAAAAACCATATAAAATACATAACCAGCTGGTGCAGATGCTGATGTAAAGCACATAAGGTATCCTCACCAAAAGACAGAGAATGTCAGCGATAGGATATTCAAAAAGAGTTTACCAACTAAACCAGTAAAAGGAAATATTGATGCTTATAAATACTGATAATATGACGGCATTATAATTGCTGTGTTACTTTGCCAGAAATACATTCAATATATAACAGCAGACTTAGCCTTCAGGAACATGCTGATGGTAGAATTGAGCTGCTACCTATATGTCAAGTAACTGCAGTTCTATCAAACCTCTACCCTCTACGATCACAAGAAAAAAGAACTGCTTGTTAGGAAGAAAAAGACTAATACAAGAAACGTTGACTTTAATTCCTCCTGATAGAGATTAACCAATTAAGGGTAGTATTTGCTAGGAAGAAAAGAGACTAGTACAAGATCGCCAATGTCATAATGTTAACTTTAATTCCTCAAAATAAACATTGCCAAGCAATAAAAGGTATAGTTATACTAATAAGATGTACCTGTTTCTCAAGTTCTCTTGCTCTAGCCTCTGCTTCCTCACATTTCTCTTCAGCAAGTCGCAGCTGGATTATCAAACACCAGTGTAGTTAAACTGCATATGAAAGGCTAAAGGAGGAAAATAAAAATCATTTAATGAATACTTACCTTCTCAAGAATATTTTCGTTCTCTTCTTGGAGCATATCCAACTGCATGTTGTATTAAATAAAAAGAAGCTTCAGACATCCATTGCAATTCTCTCGGTGAATAGTTTGAGTTTTTAGGTTTTTAGCTAATTAATATGAAACACAACAAAATCAGTTTTTTATTTTAGAAAAACATCTCGTCTTTCAATAAAGTGATCAAAACTTCGTTATAGTTAATTTATGACAGGAAATCACGGTAATCACCTCATCCCGAAGTGCAGAAGCCTCCCGCTGATTTCCTGTATCTCTTGAATTCAGATGTCCCGTATCTGCAGGGAATCTGTAATACATGTCAACAGCCTAAAACAAGGAATAAGTCATTGAGCAATGAAAGCCTAAATATACTATTTTTACCACTAGAAAAACAACATGATACTGTTGCAAAGCATGGGTCTTTCTTTTGGCTCATAGAAGTTCTTTTGACAAAGAAATCTGAAGATTACAATATATACAAAGATGGGTAATTTGGTTCCCAGCCATTACATGATAAAAGATGTTGGTAAAGAATAATCAAAATAATACAACTTGCACGTTTTCAGTTCCTCAATCTATAATTTTGAGCCCTACCTCCCCAGTGCTCCTGTCGATATTTACATTTTTCTGACAAAACATGTGTCTGTAAATATTTCCCTTTAACGAATTGGTTTGACATAAATTGCAATAGTAAAACCTGGAAATATAAAGAGAAAGCTACAGAATATAAAAAAAGGAAAAGGTAAAAGTACACAAAAGAGGACCAGGATACAACAAAACCAAAGGAAAGCCCTCCTTGTAATTGCAGATCACCTATAAAGCAATATGAACTTATTAATCAGTTACCAATTACCATGACATGCTTGTTTAAAACAACTGTGAGCAGTGTTCTACATGTCAGCCGATATGGCCAATATTTTGCCGCACATCTCGGTTTATACCCCCAGCCTTGAAGATAAGAGTGTTTTCCATTTTTGCATATTTACAGCTGAAATATCAGCGAACTTCCAACACATCAGTCAATACTGGGGAAATTTCAGTCACAGTGTTTTGGTTTCAATATTTAATGGGTTCGGGTAAGGTTTTTGGCTCAGATATTTAACAAGTTTGGGCTTGGGTTTTGGGCTCTGAGCCCAAACCTATTAAATGTCTGAGCCCAATACACTCATCACCTAGACTCTCGTGTACCCAAACCCTATTGTCTTCACATTGCCTCTTGCAAAGGAGATTATGTCGCCTCGTCGTGGTTGCCTCTTTGGTTTAAATTTTTGTTCTTGTTTGTCATTGCAAAAACTTAATATTTAATATTAGTCATAATTATATATTATGAGTTCCCCGGTGCAGGTGATGTGTGCATTGCATGGTAAAGTTGTGCGTTAACAAAAATTTAACACCTTAATAATCAGTACTAATATGAATAGATTTTTAGAAAATTATTGCCATAAGTGATATATAAAGTATCTTACTATTGGAAAATGTGGGGTGTGGGCAGGCTTATTGGGGCGCGTGCCCCAGGCGCGGGGCGCTTCGGCCTGGGGAAATGTGCCCCGCATGCGAGGCGGGACGCTGCACGCAGAGAGGCGCGCGCCTCACGTGCGCCTCGCTCGCGCCTCGCGTGCGCCTCGCTCGCGCGTTATGTAACATACTCTTTCTTCTATTTTTTTTAAAATAATTTACATAATTACATATTTATATCATGTAATATACTCTTTCTTACTAGTTGCTAATCTATTTTCATCTTTTTATGTTTAACCTATAAAAAGAAAACAATAATTAGTAATTTAGTATACTTGTTTGCTAATTGTAATTTCCTTCTCTAATTAGCATGCTAACTAACAAATTATGAACATGTAAATATATAATTGTTACATTCATTCATCATCTTTTCATGCTAAGTAGCAAATATTAATTAAGAATACTAACTAGAAAATTATAAACAATCATGTTTGTTAATTATATTTCTTAGTCATTTTATGTGACAATTTATAAACATATGCTTATAATTGTTAATCACTTAATTTGATGATTTAAATACATATTTCTTGTATCTTTTTTGTTACTTTAAAAATTCAATTAGCATAATTTGATGATTTAAGTTGATATTCTCATAATTTTGGATGTAGGTAACTAATATGTTGCTTATATGTTTCTGTCTTATGATGTTGGCAAATATTAGTTTGAGTTATGCGCCTCAATTAGTGAGGCACGCGCCTCGTTGTGCGCCTTGCGCATGTAGGCGTCAAAAAATGCTTACAGACATCCAAACACCACTCAAGACAACATAGAAGAACAATATACACATCATCAAGCAACACATGGAGGCGCGGCAGGACATGGTGCCGCGGCTAAGGCGCGGCAGACCATGGTGCCGCGGCTAAGGCGCGGCAGCCTAGGGTTTGTTTATTGTTAGAATATTTAGTTCTTATTTAGTAATGATGACCGGAACGTATCTATTTATAAATTATTACTATATATTCCATGTTTTATAAAATTTAGAATTAAAATAAACTTAACTCATGAGGCTCATGCCTCGCATCATAAAATGTCTAACGCTTCACCTTGTACTTTGCTTTTTAAAACATTCTCCGCGCAAGACTCTTAATTGTACTGATGCTACAGCATCATTTTGATGTTATTTTATCCAATATTAATGAGATTTAGCAATAAACTGCAATATGTTCTACTTCTAGTTGAATACAAGGTAACAAGCTTTTCATTCATTTATGTTTTTAAAAATATCATTTAAACTAAGTTGCTAGTATTCAGGTAAAATTGCTCTTGATCTTAGGTGCACTAATTGTGTTCTTGCATATTTACCTGACTTAAACATTTAGATGTCGTAATCCGTTATACTGTAGGGAGATTTACATACAAAATGTCAACTAAACAAAATTCTAGATAATAAGAGATCCACGATATGTGAGGTTTTCTTTCATATTTTTTGCATGTTTAGTAGCATAGTATCACAAAATAAAAATAAATAAATAAAATAGCACTGCATTTTTTGCTTCATCTTGAGTTAGTGAGGACTCTTTTTTTGAAGCCTTACCACTGCATTTTTGAAGTATCAGGCAAAGGATCACCATCTTATATGTGCAAGATTGAGAGCGGGTCATTGCTGTGAGCACATCGACTAATTTCGACTGCTTAATTACCTAACATATGCTGTTTATTACACTTTCTTTCTAGACAAATAAAATAGCATGCTTCGTGCTTCACCTCTGGAAGATCACTCTTCTGCTTTGAAAGCACTTCGGTCATATTATGGTCCAATTCAACATTATGCTAAATAGTTGTGTTAATAGTCTTCTTTGTATTTAGGCTTAACATTGTATTACAATCTGCCATTGCGATAGTCCACCTTATCCAGTTCATGGATTGTCAGACTGTAGAAGATTTGCTATACTTTGGTTTTCCTTAAATAAAAAGGACATTGTTAAATAAAGAGAACATTGTCTTGTCACCATTGGTTATTCATATTCACTTGACCATTTTTCGCCCTTCTATGCATAACCGGAAGAAAAGAATGAAGTGTTACTAAAGAATTGCTAGCTTAACCGAAACCCCCCCAGTCAGCGAAACTATTATGATAGACCATCCAACACATTTGTGCTCCTACCTTATTTTTCCAAATTCCCTTTTGGAATTTATATTTTTCATCATCAACTGCTCTCGCAGTATTTTTTTATTTTCCAAATTCTTGTTTAATAACATGAAAGAAGTCAACGCTCTGGCTTTCCCTTTTTTTGCCTCGTTTACTTTCACACCAGTTTGAATAAGTGTAGGAAATGGATAAAATGACCAACTCCCCTTTAAAGTAGAGTTGAGCATGGTTCGGTCCAAACCGAAAAAACCGACCGAACCGACCCGAACCGACCCTAGAAAATCGGTTTTATGAGTAGGACGGTTCGGATCGGTTTGAAAACTTTTCAACCCGAACCGATCCGAACCGACAGAATATAGTGCAATACTACACATTCTGATCTCAAACCCTACTCGACCCGTCCCCAAAGAGTCAAAGACGCAAACTCTAAACTCATTTTCTGGATCATTATGGGTTGAAAATAATATCATTATATCAGTGTTTAATGCTTTATAATCTCCTACTTTGTTGATATTTTTTTCTTTAACATAGTTTGTTGTTTGATAAGAAGTTTGATGAAGTTAGAACCGAATAAACCGAACCGAACTGCACCGAACCGACTTGCAACAGTTCGGTTCGGTTTTGAATTATAGGCGGTTCGGTTCGGTTGTTCAAATTTTGGTAAAAACCGAACCGAACCGACCGTTGCACACCCCTATTCATGGGAGTGCTTGCTGGCTTACACCCCAAAAGACCCATTTCTTCTAATAAGTCCAATACATATTTCCTTTGAGATAGAAGCAAACGGTCCTTTTGATATGCAATCTCAATCCCAAGAAAATATTTGGGTTTTCCCATATCTTTGGTCACAAAGTGACGTGAAAGGTACTCCCTAGTCTCAGCTAAGGCGTTAATATCGTTTGATTTGTGATCATGTATATGTCATATAAATTACTATATATCAATTATGGTGAATTTTCATTTTAGTGCTTTCTACATTTTTATGGTGTTGGATATCATTATGTTTATGATGCCTATATGTGCATGATATTTATTTTTGTTCTTTTGTATTATTATGTCTGATATGTTATGACTTTGATATGACTATGATTGTATTTTATGCACTTCACACTTATTGTGATAGTTTATACAATTTTTATGATACTGTTTTGAGCCGTATTACTTAGCTGATTAGTTATAACTTTTGATGATGTAGCTTTCTTTTATTATCTTGAATGATGCATATAAGTGCATCACTTTTATTTTAATTTCGAGGGCGAAATTTATTTTAAGGGGGGTAGAATGTAAGGACCATGAATTTTCGATATTAGTTAAAATATTTTTCTAGTATTTTAAAATATTTAATTATAATTTTAAAAGAGTATTTATATTTTTCTTGAATTTTTATAATTTTCTATGATTTAAAGTCTAAGTTTAATATTTATTTAAATGATTTCAATATTTATAAATTTATTTAGTGCAGTAAATATTTCTGGAATTTATCCGTTGTGTTACCGATACTATTACGTATTATTTTAAATAATACGTCGTATTATTATTACTATTACGTATTAATTCTTATATTATGTTGAATTATTAATTACGTATTATTTGTGTAAATTATTGTATTATTTTAATTATTACGTATCAGCTGTCGTATTAGCATAACTGGTACGTTTTATCATGCAGATAATTGTCACATAATTATTTGATTGCGGTTCGGTTCGGTTGTTCAAATTTTGGTAAAAACCGAACCGAACCGACCGTTGCACACCCCTACTTTAAAGTATGGTTGAACTCCCAACCCCCCTCTAAAGTATCAATTTACATACTATCCTCCTTATACTATATGCATACATGCAATATGGTCATTTTATAAGCCCATAATCAAATATTTAACTGGTTGATGATGTGGTAGATTTTTTTTTTTGCATTTTCTCTATCTTTTGCAATTCCAAAAAATACTATCCCCAAGTATTGTTGAACAAACCACCCAAACCCGGTCTCCCCCCGCACCCCCCCAAAAGGAAAAAGAACCAATTATACTATATATATGCACCCAATAGGGTCATTTTATGAGCTCACAATTAAATATTTAACTGATTGATGATGTGGTAGTTTTTTTTTGCATTTCTTCTATCTTTTGCAATTCCAAGAAAGAATAAATGGCAAATTCTTTTTGGAGAAAAGTAGTTTTTGAGCTTTTTTGGAGGAAAAAGAGACAGACCAATAAAAACCTTGGAAGGAAAAAAATATTGACACACCATTAACCTGTTAAATATGTGACTTTGAATTCACATGGGAAAAGTGTGTTAATAGTCAAATTGGTACTTTAGGGAGGAAGTTGGGAGTTCACCAATACTTTAAGGACGTGTTTGACAATCGTAAAGTAAACAGAACTACGAAACGTTGACTAGAAACTATTGTGGAAAGTTGACTAGCAACTGATGTGACAACCACTTTCTTTACCTGAACCGTTTGTTTTCTATGCAAACTGGACAATAGAAAATAGACTCTTAGGGGCTGTTTGGTTCGTTTCCTAGATATAAGGAAATACAATTCTATGTAAAGAAACTTAAGTTTTGAGTTTTCTAAACTTTTCCGAGAAATAGATTATTTTGGTTTGGTTCGCACATAAAATAAGGTGGGAAATCAATGTATGTACTTTTCTTGTGTTTGGTTTGTATGGAAAAAAGAAAAAACTTTTGTTGATTTGATATTTTCTAATTTTCTTGTGTTTGTTTAGTTTTGAAGTGTGTAGGGCAAAGTGTATATGGTCACCATGGTAAGATTACCCTCCACTAAAGACAAATTTATTTGTGATCATTATGTGAAGTAATCTTAACAAAATAAAAGTGCGAATATAACATGAACAAATAGTAAATTACTGAATTCATTATAAATATTTGTTTGCCTTAAAAAATCATAAGAAACCTGGAATAACATGATTCAATTGCTATGAACTGTGTACCCGATTTGACCTAAAATATACCTGTTTGAGATGAAAAAAAATCACACGAGACCTGTAATACCTTGATTATTCATAATTTTATGAAATACGTATCTGAATTAGCCATAAATTCTTATGAAACCTAAAAAAACATATAAACAACCTGATTAGCCATAAATATGTATATACCATAGCAAATCACATCAAACCTGCAAATATCAAACATGTACGTAATGACTGAGGGCTCAAAATCTGATCAATATTATCATTATTAGCCATCCAGTACAATAACATTAGATATTGCATGTTGCTAATCTCAGAAATTTTGACAATCATCATAGTCTAAACAAAAGTTCATGAACACGAGAATATACCAACACGGGAGCTTGACGACGAGCACAAATAACAACCAAAAAGCCAACAACATAGAGCTAAACAAGCTCGAATCAGCATAGTAACAAAAAACAGCCACGAAAGCTCGACGACGAGTACAAATAGCTACCAAAAACCTAATAACATAGAGCTAAACAAGTTCGAAGCAGCATAGTAACAAAAAACAGCCACGGGAGCTCGACGACGAGCACAAATAGCAACCACAAAACCTAACAACATAGAGCTAAACAAGCTCGAAGCAGCATAGTAACAAAAAACAGCCACGGGAGCTTGACGACGAGCACAAATAGCAACCACACTGGAGCTCGACGACGAGCACAAATAGCACACAAAAAGCCAACAATATAGAGCTAAACAAGCTCAAATCAGCATAGTAATAAAAAACAGCCACCGGAGCTTGACGACGAGTACAAATAGCAACAAAAAATCCAACAACATAGAGCTAAACAAGCTCGAAGCAATATAGTAACAAAAAACAGCCACGAGAAACACTATTTACCAATATTTCATCTTTGATAGCAAAACTAATAATGAAAAAATCACTAATATGGCTATCAAAATTCTAGATCCATCACACAAGATCCTAAAAAAGTAAAACCTAGGAAGATTAAAGTACTCAGAATCTAACGCTTACGCGTCAAAATAAAATGAAATACTATCAATACTTAACATATGAATAACTAAAAAGTGGAGAGATTTAGACTCATAGTTGAAGAGAAAAGGGATCGAGGTTCTTCGGCGATTGATCGAACGTGGCTATATGCAGTGATTTCCCCAAATCCGACAAAAAATCCGACGAAAATTTGACTAAATCTGACAAAAAACCGAAGATCCGATGAAATCCCTAGCTTTTGTAGATCCGACGCGTGAACAGGGAAGGAATGGTGAGACTTGGCGGTAACCCTAGCCAACCAATAAATTTCCTGAAAATATTACAGATCTGATAAAAGGATGCCACAGGAGGGTTTTCTGAGTTTTTTTGCTCATTTTGGGAGGAAATCACGACGAGCGATTTAGCTGAGGTGGAGGAGTTTTCCGCCGCTGGAAACCCTAGAACCCAATGCGAACCAAAGCCGCACAAAGAAACTAAAGAAAATGAAGTGCCCGAGGTGGACGCGGTGTCAGCGGAGGGAAATGGGTTTCGGGGCTTTTTTTTTACCAAACAGCCCCTTAAACGTGGGACGTTATAAAACATCAATGGTATATTAGAGCATGTTATATATCATCTTACAAAGAGAATAAATTTCAAATTTGAAAATTTCCATATTAATTTAATCAGACCCAACAATGCTTACTATAAGCATGCAACTTATGTTTTTCTATTCAATGATCTAGTTTATCCAATAAATATTATTAAAATGATTTTGAATCTTGAGCATCCTTTGCTCATCAAAGGTGAGCCATAGATTTTGTTCATTTTCCTTGTGCAGAGCGTATTTAGTCTATCAAAACATCCATTTAGTTATCAAGTTTTTTATTTGAAGCATATTGCAATTTGCAAATAAAGGAATAAATTTAGCGAAAAAAAGTTAGAAGTTGTGTGGTGCAAGACTCGTGGCACACTTTAGTATGAAGCATTGACTAGATTTAAAAAAAAACATATTTTCTAACGTGAAAAGATGTAAAAAATAAAATATTCTCTCCACCCCCCTCTCCCATCACTTTCCATCCACTTTCTCACTTTTTTGGAGAAAAGTCAAATAGGTAAAAAAACTGACGTGTCACCTCTTCACTTTCCATTTACTCTGCATCTCTTTCCATGAGCCAAAAGAAAAAAAAAAGAAAAAAAGAAACATAAAAAATAAAAAAATAAAAAATAAAAAATAAACAAGGAAGTGGGTCACTTTCTATTTATTTTCCGATTGCCAACACCACCCTAAAGGGGAGGTGGCCATTTTGTCCTTAGGAAATGTTTAAAGTTTCACCCTAATGTTTTTTAATCTTTTCCTTCATGTTTTGCCACCAACTTTGTCCAAATAAGACCGATCTCTGTAAATCTTGTGCAGTATAGCTTAAGCACAAATCACAATGATGAATAGCAGAGAAGGCAAAAAGCTTTCTTCATTATGATTTTCTCATTTGAGAAATTTCTGAATTGTATCTATAGGAAGAGTTATTCAATGGTCTTAGTCATTTCTTTAGGAGTTCTATCAGTTGAGATATAACTTATCATTTTGGGATTGTATCCTGTCATTCAGTTTTCTATTTTTCTGAACTGTTTGAAATGATTGGAATTGTTCTTCTTGGTTTACTTTTTCTAACAGGCTAATGCACAAAAGCTTGCTGAATTCTTGTCATCTCACCCAAGAGTGAAGCAAGTTTACTATGCAGGACTTCCTAATCACCCGGGTCACACACTGCATTATTCTCAGGTACTATTCTGGAAATCAGTACGAGGATGTGAACTATGAAGGAGATTACACTTATTCCCTGTTTGTTTTTTTTTTCAAGGCAAAAGGTGCTGGTTCTGTTCTGAGCTTTTTGACCGGATCACTAGCTCTCTCGAAGCACATTGTCGATACCGTGAAATACTTCAGTACAACTGTCAGTTTTGGTAAGTTTATTTTCTCCTCTTATTCTTTATTTACATCAAACGATGCAAGTTAAACCAAAATTTTATTACTTTGGAATTTGCTGGAGCAATTTGGTCATTCACTAGTTGTTAGTTATTTCATGAAGTACCTTATGGGATATTTGATAGTCTCATATTTGTTATTTTTTAGATTGCTGTTAACTCTGTGGTTCTTCTAACTGTACTTGTAGTTGTAGTATTATGCACAATGCAGGCATTTAGCAATATGCATTCATCATGTCATGATGACACATCACCATAGTTTCTTTTCCTTGATTTCAATTGAATAATTAAAGTTTGAAATTATTATCTTAAAGTTATTTCATAAAGTTAGACTGGAACAAACACCTGACATGCTTATTGTGGAAGCTTGAGAGGTATTTTCTATACTAACTTGTAAGTACTTGACGATCGTCAACCTAGTATTGTTATGTTAACTAGAGCTGTAAGTGGGTTCGCATTATCCAAACCTGACGTAGATCCAATCTGATTGTGCCCCAACTTGGACCTGGTACCTAGACCCATGAGTTGTGCATGGGTCTATATTCTAGACTTCCAGTCCGAGACTCCAAATAGGTAGGGCTTGACCTAGCAAATTTGGACTTGACTGATTGAATCAGAACAATCTCAAAAAGATTAGACAGAAACTAGTTTCATATATGAACATTCTATTCAATAATGTCAATCATGATTGTCACTACCTGAGCTCTTCTATAAAGAACACTGACGCCAATAGAACCTACTTTCTTTAGCACAAGTGTAGCTAATTCCTATGTATGTTAATGACTTTAATGGATTCCGAATTAATTAAGTATTCAAATAATGAAATACTATTTAATTTGCATATGTTTTCAATCATTGATATGGGTTTTTATGAATGCCCGCATTTTTGGTTCGTGCACTTTTCATGAATGATAGTTTGCCTCTTCTCCTCTCATTTGTTTACTGTTTCTTCTTTCTTCTTCTATTGTTAACAAAAATCCTTTTTTTTTTGGCAGTTCTCAACCCAAAGAAGCTTGGCTTTAACAAAAACTAAATGGATTTTATCTCTAGTGCTCGATAATCTTTTAATGATACCAAGAATAAGATTATAGGGTAATATGATTATATACGGAAAGATATTTTTTGAATATCCATGCAAACACAACCAAACAATCTACATTTAAACTCCCACTCTTTTTGGTCTGAGCGCACGAGTATTGAGTCACATATTTTGGGTCACACTTATTTAAGTCAGAAAGCAACCTATCACAGTCAAATGAACGCGCTAAATGTAAGAGCTTCGAGTTAGAATATTGATTTACAAAACAACTTATACCCATTCGTGTTTGTGGTTAATTACACTGAGAGAAAATGTTCAAACGGATTACTATTTTTACAGCTTCCAAACTAGCATAGCTAAAGACTCATTATGTCTTCCTGCTATTGGGGCTTTTATTTCATGTGCATATTTAACAGTTTTATGTGTGTGCAGGAAGTGTTAAGTCACTTATAAGTTTGCCATGCTTCATGTCCCATGCAAGCATCCCCGCTTCAGTCCGTGAATCTCGGGGACTGACTGAAGATCTGGTTCGTATCTCTGTGGGTATCGAGGATGCGGAAGATCTCATAGCGGATCTGGATTATGCTATTAGATCAGGGCCTATTTAAAAGCCGTAACTGTTAGTTATTCTGTCATGTCATTGACGATACCACAATGGGCCCACATTTTGTTTTCCTTTTTTTTTAAAAATTTTTATAATTACTTTTTTCTGTGGTAAAGCTGTTTGTGAATTAGATTTGCTGAGGAATAATCAATTTTCATGTGTTAATTTAGGCAATCATATTTGCTTCTTTATTTCGTTTGACCAGATTTCTGTATGGTAACGTTAGGACTAAGGGAGTGTTTGGCTACTTTGTAAAATTGGGCCAAGACTGAACCTGACCCAATTTTGTGTTTTTTCTTGTTTGTTAAAATTCTGACCTAGATTTGACCCTATTTTTTGTGCCCAAATAGTGTGACCAAACTAGTTTTGTTTTGGACCAAGGGGATCTGGTTCAAAACCAGACTAGTATAGCACAAAACTGGGTCAGGACTGGTCCTGGCCCAGTTTTGCTCCGTTTGCCAAACTAGGAGTTATATTTGAATCTAGGATCTGTAAATATAATTGGTATAACTGGTTTCGCAAAGGATGATCATTATGAATTCTCGAAAATTTGCTATCGTCAAAGGAAATTACAGTGTTAGACTCAAAGTTGAGGCCTTGATTTATCTTATAGGTGAGAGTAGAGAACCGTTAGTTTGACTCAAAGCTGAAGGCTTGATTTATCTTATAAGTGGGGGTAGAGAGCCATTAATTAAGTGTCGAGGCTCAAAGTTAGCAAAGACCCCCTGGGGTGCGCCTAGTTGCAAGCTTCCTCTCATCCTTCCCCGCTTGACCTGTACTGTTACGAAGATAAATTGCTTCTTGATCTTGGTTCACTTTGGACCATGCATTGATATCTTGGGTGTAATTCACAATCTCTAACTTTTGAGAACTTGATACGCTCTGTCATGTAGTATATTTAATCCGAATATTATATATTGATGTTCTATTTTGAAATTGGATATTAACCATCAAATGAACTGTATGTTTTTCTCATTTGTTACTTTTCTGTTCTTGATAAGTCTCTCCCTACTGTAGCGGTTGCAAATAATTTGCTTCTCATTTTTGTTTTCATCTCTTGAGCATATAATACATAGACGATCACTTGCGTCTTACTTTGATTGGCTAATGATTATGGTTCTTACGGTTCATATTACGTAAGAACGGCTCCTTTTCATTTATATTTTTTTAAAGCATACCATCTAATAAACAAATCCATGCATGCGTGAGGTTGAAACTAGTTTTTAATTGATTTTGCTGTTGCTACGTGCTTTTTGATCGCATCAAGTGGAAAGAAATGTGGAAACTTCTTTTTCTTCATCTTTATAATATACCGTGTTAACCTAGTCCAACTTGCGATTACTTGAAGCATGATTAATTGTTTGACCTGAGCTGCTGCATTCGTTTTCTCACGCGGTATTATTAAAGAGTATCACAGAATATTTATTGTGCCTAATGCAAATCTCAACCTCCACCGAATACGTATTTATTTGTTCCGAGCGTCCGAATATTTTATGTTGTTCCTTTCGATGCGTGACTCGTCAGATGAGCTGTGCTACGGCGACGTCGACGATCAATAATTATTTCTGCAGCACTACTATACCATGATTTCTGGTTTGATTTCCTGTAAATGTTGATTTTGTTTACGAATGCGTGACTTGTTCCGGATTAATTTTAAATTATTTTCTGCAGTTGTCCATACTGAAATTGAAACTCCACCAAACTTCAAAATATATATAGCTGACAGATGAGAACACGCAATACATTATGAGTCCGACGTTGGGCTCACAACTTTTCAAATAATAATAATAATAATAATAATAATATTATTATTATAGTTCCGAGATGAGAACACGCTATATTATTATAGTGTATATACTTACTATTCTTGTTTGATTAGGTCGTCCTTCACGCTGTTCGCTTTCAATAGAGTACGAGCTTTGCTACAGGCACCCAAAATATGAGACTAATAAAGGGGACAAGTGAGGTGTCTTCCTCCTATTGGATAATGAGTTGGTCATTATTAATGATGGCCAACTCATTATCCAATAGGAGGGGAAGACCTCACTTGTCCCTTTTATTGGTCCCATATTTTGGGTCCTTAAAGAATTTTTCATAGAGTACTGTTGGTAATTTATTTCATCTCGTGTTTTCTTTATGACGTGATTGTTAGGCAACTGATAGACACATCCCAAAGAATTTAATCTTCCTTTTTTACAAACGTAACAACGAAACTAATTTATACATGAAAGCAGACTGAGTTAAGCATATCATCTTGCGTTTTTTCTTTTCTTGCCTTCGTCCAACTGCTTGTTTTCTGGGATATTTTGCCTGTTATCCAAAGACAACTGCATTAATGACGTTTTAATCTCGTATCTCCGATGCCGCAACAGGACTAGGTGGCGGACTGTCGGTCCTAAGCAAGTAAAATCCTCGGCGGATTTTTCCAACCCGATTTGAATCTGCAACAGTTGCAAGAACGGAAAAAAAAAAGTTGATGTCAGTTGACCTTGAATAATGGATACTATCTATATTTGTTTATGCATCCAAGCCTGAGAGTGTATGAAATTGCCTGTGTTTGCCCCAGAGGCTAACAACAAGTTGAGAAGGATTGCAGCGGCGAGCAGTAACATATAGAAAGAACAAGAGAAGATTGATCTTGCAATGGGCATTGGTTAAAATTAAGCAGCGAAAGATCAAAGATGCTCAATTCAGTATTCTGGTGTTTATTTGCTAGCTGTATGCGAGGATGGGCATTGATGCATATGTATGTATATATGTGCACAGGGAAAAGAAAAAAATAATAAAAATAAAAATAAGCGTACGTTGCGGGGGTAGACAGCCAGGGTCATGGAATTTAGGCTGGGAGGTTGCTCGTTCAAAAAGATTTGTTAGCTATAAACAACAAGAAAGTCGTACAAGGTTGAAGTATTTGTCCCCTTTGTTGGATTAATTATGCTTTCGTGATGTTTCTAAGGCGCGCCATCACAACCAAACTGAGTCAGAATAGTACATGGGACATCGTTTCCATGAGCTAGCTAGCTAGCTAGGCTGCATACGCGTAAATTTATTAATGGCTAATTAACTCAAGCATTAAGAGGATGGCTATAATAGCTAGCTGATTTGACGTTTGGACTGAGCACCCCGGACAAGGGAATATTAGGTAAAAGCATACATTAATTTTTGGCGACTTACTTATTTTATGTTATACGTACAACGGTGTTTTCCCTACTAATAATAAGTTGGCAACTTACTGAATTCGTTTGTTTACATGTACAAGATCGATTTGAGATCCTAAGAAGCTGCCGCTTATACTGCAACTACTCGTATTACGAAACCCTTTTTTAGGTGTCTGTCCAAATATTGCAAGGACAATTTATCATTGGCATGATGACTGTATTAAGATAGTTGAAATTCCTTATAAGTAAGTGTTTTAGCCTCTAGAATCATAGTTAATGAAACGCTTAATTAAAAGGATGATTTGTCATTCATAATAGTCAAAACTGGTTGGGGATTATAGCCCAAACTAAATCAATCATATGAGAGGTCTTTTAGAATTCACCGATGTCATCCCACAGAACCAGTTTGTGAGATACGATAAGGAAAAACCAACGTCACGTATCCAAACACAAAGCCAATAAGATAGGTAGGATTGAATGATCCCCTCGAGTAGCATGGTTGCCCGTTCCTTGCTCAAATTTGATCACATACAGCTTATTGGACACTATCAACTGAGCAGAGCTCAATATCTTGCCCCTAAATGCAAAACGAGCATGCTTTTCCATAATGTGGAACGACACGATCCTAACTAACTCACATGGGGGCACACTCGCAATCATTCCACGCTCTTTCTTGCCATTTTAACTACCTCGACCTTCGGCAAAAGGGCACATGGATAATTCAATTACAGATGAAACTTCCTCATGGCTCACTGGATTGACCAGATTAATCCACATGGACTTCCCTCTATCCATGATCTACCCTTAAAAATTAGAACAAAAAAAAAGAAAAAAGGAAAAAGAAAAAAGAAAAGAAAGAAAAAGGAATAGTGGTAAGCTAGGACATAGTCTAATTTCAATTCAATTTGATTAGATTTCTACCTTCTTTCTATAGTCACTAAATCATGTGAACACGTGGGGGCCCAAGTGGGGGCTGTGAACGAAGTGGGAACACGAGCCCCAACTTCGGTTCTTTTATTTGCTGGACGCAACGAAGTTGTTCGCTGGACGCAATGAAGTGTGAACGGATGAGATGCAGATGTTTTTTCGTTTCCTGGATGGCCCACAAACCGCGTGAAGAGATGAAGATCCAGTGGACAAAAGAATGCCCACCCGAAGACCCGGCAGAAGCTTATAAATACACATTGGTTTCTAGGGTTTTGTTTTGTGTGTGAAGGAGGGTTGTACAGTCGGCTATTTCTCTTGTTCTTTGGGCTTGGAAAAATAAAAGACGCAGAAGAGAAAAATCTCGGTGGCTGTGCAAGTACGAAAAGGAGAGAACTCTGTTCTTGGCGGCCTGGGTGCTGGTGCAAGGCAGCGTGCAAAAGTGTTGGCAGCGTTCTTTTTGGGCGGCGTGCAAAGAGTGCTTTTGTGCTTTTGAGAGAGATAATTATGTGAGGGTTTAGATTGAGTGATTGTAAACCCTAGTTGTATTCTCTCCCTCTAATAGTAGATCTCCCCCTCCTTGCCCCGTGGATGTAGGCAGTTTGCCGAACCACGTAAAATTAATTTGTTTGTGTTTGTGGCCATTGTAATAGTTTTAGGATCCCTCGACAAGTCAGTCCTAGAACTGATGAGAGGAAGAGCCGATATGTCACTTTGTTGAGATATTCGCTTCAGATTCTTGTTTCCTTGGTGAGACGAGAATTCTTATTGGGATCTTTCTCTCTTATTGTGCACCAGAAACTCTGCCGAAATTTTCGCTGCGCACAACAAGTGGTATCAGAGCCCGGGTTACGTTTGAGCTATTTTGGAGGAGTAGATCAATTTGAAAGCTCGTCTAGGGCTTTGTTTGGTAATAAAGGTGGGATCTTTTGGTAAAAGACTCTATCTTTTCAGTTTTGGATCTATTCTTCGTTCGTTGGTGTGTTGAGAAAGATGTCGGGGACAGAAGGTACTTCGGGTGTCGAGGGTGGTGCTTCTGGTACGAAGACCATTTAGAGTTTAAATATCCATTCTATGAAGATAGATGTGAAGAAGTTTAATGGCACAAA